ATGAAGTTCTATATTTTCAAAGGTTAGATGAAAACTTAACCGCTTCAGGCTATAGAAAGAAAGAAGAAACAGATAAGAAAACAGGACTTCAGAAGGGCACTATAAAGAAGGGGTTACTTGGGACTTGCAAAACCACAGTTGTGTGTTGCATGATAGGCTGCCTCGCCACACGAAAAAAGATTGGTGGGGACAGAGTCTATATACCAGGACCAGGCCAGTACTAACAGAGTAGATACACGACACGTGACATGAAATGACCGAACAATCGATCTGGTAGCGGTTATTTACCAGCCACCACCGCTAACAGCTAGACACAGCAGCATCATGATGTCGTCATTGTACGTACACATACACATGCATTGTGTGAGGCTCATTTCCCTCCACAAAATTACCAAAGTACCTGTACATTGCGGGCGTTGACGAAAAATAATCGACCTACAAAAACACTGCGATAGGGTATGCAGTACACCCCGGAGCACTGTTTCCTCTCTCGGGATAGGGTACTCCGTCCCAGGCCTTAGTGAGGCTCTGCGTCATGAGACTCTGGGCAGCGCTGGAGCCCGCACGAACATGGTGTTAGCACTCTGGAGTGGGTGGGGCGGGGTCTGGGAGCAGGGGGAGGAGTCGGCCGAGGAATGGTCGGTTACGAGGAGTGGCTCGCTGAGTACAGAGAGAGAGAGCGAGAAAGAAACGAGAAATTGAGATTATGCATCACAGATGCTAGTAGCTTTACACATGTACAGGTATGCAGAGACAGACGAGCTGACAACCCGCTGCACAACAAACAACAGTCCACCGCTGCTAGAGATGCATATACTTATGAGATGGCCAGTACAGCCAGGTGCATCACTCTAACTGCCCAGGTGCATTATCTAGAAAGTTCGCTCATACACATGCTTTTGAAATGCAGCAAAGGATATACGTGTAAAACATGCACACAAGTAGCATGTTATATCTCACCAGTATTGATGACAGACAGCACAGATACAGGCTGAGCTGGTATGGGCAGTCTCCACAGACACACGCCTGGAAATAGACATTTGAAACTTTATGATGTGCATGTAATGTCCACACTCTGAGCTTAACGGAGCCCACCGATAGTACAAACACTACCACACACTGCATAGTATATACGAAAAGCCAGGTGGAACTTAGGGATGAAATGTGCATATAGCACTGCCTGATTTCACCCGATCGTGGCGCATTTTTATGTTTTTCGTGGTGTGGTGGAAAGAAGGTACTGTTTCTCTCTCTCCTCACCTGCAAGGCCGCGTGCTCTCATCGCCAGCACGTAGCTACTTCTCTGCGCACAGTCCCTGTTGCTCCGCTCTCTTCATGACCCGACTGGCCATCGTTGATCGCCCCGAGTCTCCAACCTTCTTGTTCTCTCTTCTTTTCTCTCTCTCCTCTATCTCGCCCGTTCTCCTCTCTCTGCTTGACTCCCCAATCATCGGATGCTGATACAATCTTCTGCTCTGTACCTTCACTCACCCTGCCCTCTCCTCCTCCTCCTCGCTCCTCCCTCTATCTCCCCGTCCCCGTACTACAACGCGGTTCGCTGAACATGATCCGCAGGAGCGGTAGGTCCACACGACTGCCCAGGAACTCTGAATCGACATTCGTCTCGTCAAATATAGTGGGCGCCTGCCCGCGAGTAGTTGCAGAGTGTGTGTCCATTAGCGCTTCTGTCCTTTCGAGGTTGGTACGACAGGACGAGAGTTGTAAGCGAGGATGGTGCGATTCACGCCCGGTAGAGTTCGAGAGGAAGACACGTTTGGCTGTTTGAGAGCCTGTTTCCACACCAGGGAGATGAGGAAACTCCACGTACACCTTGTGACTGGGGTCAAGGTACACCCACTGCCATAGTCCTGTCAACACCGGCGACTGCAGAATACTCCGACGCCAGTCCATGGCACGCGCGAGAATATCTGGTGAAGCCGCGAGTGGAATGATACCTGTCACGTCTTTCGTTTCCATCCTCACCACAGAGAGAGGAGAGGGAGATTGTAAGTCGCTATGTGATGAGGGACGCATAGCCAGAACGCTCATGACATATCACACATTTTCCACCTACAGAGAGAGAGGGAGGGAGAGAGAGTGTAGTAACATGTGGCATGAGGGAAGCATAGCCGAACACAGCTCATGACATATACACATAATGTGTGTAGGGAATACATTTGTGAGTACGGGAAACTTGGTGACACAAAACTTATCCCGCCCAGCCACATTAGTGGAGGAACAGACAACCCAATGTAGCCTTCGTTTTCACCATGGTGTTTACAAAGTGCAAAATTTATTCGCGGGAGACATTACTTTGAAGCATATATTAGCGGGCGACACAAACCCATCAGTCGTCCAATAACACTGTTTTCCATAGGTAACTTCGCATGTGCAACATCACGTACACGTACCCAATGTTGGTAATACTGTTATGTTTAACCTGAGATGGTCAAGATGCTGTTGAGAATGAGTGTCTGGGTACTTGTTCTGGAGGTCTGGGGCGCCACGTATGGACGTCGCCGAGAGAACCAGTTCCAGACCGGACAACGGTTTCTGTCACGTGACCCCGGACTAGTTAGGGCGAATCCGTCGACTGCGATGGTGCGGAGGAGTTGTCACCACGCTGCAGACGCCACGTCCTGCGTCTCAGGAGCGCAAGCGCTGGACTCCTGCTGTTTCAGTCTGTACATTGAGATCCTCTGATCCCCTGTTGGCCAGTACCAAAACTGTGGGGAGACAGATAGGATAGTGGCGTGATAATAAGCTCTCAACGTGAACTAGTCAAAATACACGAAACACGTTTTTCCTTTTCAGTACAACACGCTTTCCAAAATCACGTTAGAGCATTTTTCATAGTTCGTGGATACATCCAGCCAACGGGCATGTGCAATTGATACTTTTGCCATTTTATTATGTGACATAGTATGTGCCGTATTATGTATGCATGAATGAAAACAATAAGTGTGTGTGTGTGCACAGTTGCATGTAACGATTGTACCTCCTCGTCATCAAACTCTATCATGTCTCTGCCATCCATCTCTCCCCTCCCTCCTCCCACCCTCCCCCCACCACCACAGCACCACTAGCAGCAGGAGGGTCATCATGTCATGAGGAGGGAAGAGAGTGGCAGCCAGGGGCCTCGATGAACTCGGTGGAGGTCCGCATGGTGCAGAAGTGGGGCAGCGTCCGGTACGAGTCTCTCAAGGAACTTACCACAGATCCACTGGACCCTGCTTCCCTCATCTCTCCTCTCTCTCTCCTCTGCTGGACTATAGAGAAGCTCATCAATATTTGTGATTGTTGGAACTTCTTTGTAAACGGACCATCTCTGCAATAGTACTAATTTAAGGCCATTGATGATTTTGAAAGGTCACGAGAATAAACGGTTTTTATATTATTATCCTACATATATACATTCTTCTTCACTGAAAATTAGCGCACACTCAGTCCCATATTGTACATACAGAACTTACTACACCTAATTCATTGTACGCACACTGCCACGCTTAGAGTACATCCAAATCACACACGGTGAGCTGCTTGTGACGATTTAACCCTTATTGGTCACTAACTATGCCCTAGCAGCACATCATCAGTAACGGCAACAGTAAGAACCTCACCTGATGTACAACACCCCTCGCCATAGATAGCAGGACAAACGCAGCATCCGGACACAGTCTCACACTGTTCATGGCTGCCGAGTCCCCCACCTGAAACACAATGTCCACAACGTCTCCATGTCAACGGGCAGAGACGGAATATTGAGTCCCGTCTTTCCCAGTAGGAGAGCTATCATTAGCAAAACACCTGCGGAGACCCGAGATGGTGAGGGAGAGAGACGATAGCAACCGCCACGCCCGGGAGGGGTAATTGGGAGTGCAGTTTGAGCTGTTGAGCTGTGTTCACGACATCTCAATGAGCGTAGTCATCTCGGGGGGTAGGGCCTCGAATCCTCGCTATCCAGGGACCAAAGAGTTTCTCCGTCGTGGAATCTCTGCTGGAGTCCTCTCGAGGGAGAGAGCTGGACGAGTAGTCGGAGTGCCCGGGTGACCGTGTCGTGGTGGTGTGTCCTGTGGAGGAACAGGAGGACCCAGTCCAGGCCAGGGCCTCTCCCAGGATAGAGCAAACCTGCGACACCGGAGATCGAGGTTTCAGAGTATGGAAACGTAGGGTATGGAAACACGGGGTATATGGAGTTTGGAAGTATGGAAACACGGGTATGGAGTTTGGAAGTATGGAAAACGGGGTTGGAGTTTGGAAGTATGGAAACACGGGGTATATGAGTTTGAAGTACAGGGGGAATGTTCTGTGTAGATGGGAGTATAGGGTACAAATATTAAGAAATGAGTTGTGAAACTATGGGACACTTATGGAATGAGAAGGGAGAAGTGAAGTAGTGAAAGTATGGAAACATGAATTACTATAAATATGGAATGAGAGTTTTTGAAAGTAGGGGGGTCATGTGATTTTGTAATTAGGAATGGAGTTGTGCAAGTAAGTGGGGACATGTGAGTATGGAATGAGAAACAGAGAATGTAGTTTGGAAGCCTGGAACGAAGTATTCAAGTCAGGAATATTACTAAAACAGACCTGCTGTTGAGGTGTCATGTGTGAGGAGCTGAGTAAACTCAAAAGCATGTCCACAATCATGTTTCCTCAGAACAACATCCTCCTTCTTCTCTCCCTCACTTCCTCCACCTCACCTCCTCCGGCCCCCTCTCTCCTCCTCCTCTTTCATCGCGAGGAGAGCTTCTCGGGAAGAGAGGAGAGGGAGGGATGGGCGAGAGGAGAGGTCGGTGTAGTGTCTATGCTGTTCTCATCTCCCTTGTCTCTGTGAGACAGCGTGGTCACCAGCAGCTGACCACCCTGAGAAGAAAATATACATCCACACAAACTCTTCACAAATGTTGTATCTGTACTGCCAAATTTCTGAGGTGTGTATGACCCTGATATTCATGGTTTACCTCCACATTAAGTTCAGAATGTGTTTTGGTATACAGGCACAAAAACACAGTCGAACACCTTAAAAAAACGAGAGAAAAAAAGAAAGAAAAAAAACCACACATCAAAGAGCCCAGACTTGACATGGTTAACCTTTGTAGATCTTCGTGGGTGGGGCTACTTCCTAATATGGCATTCATGACGTTGCAGATGGACTTGGTGGTCGCCCGGGAGAGTCGATCGTCATGGAGACGGAACAGGAGGAGAGACACCAGTTTCATGTCCAGCACGTGTCGCGTGTTACTGGAGTGAGTTCTGTGAGTGGAGGGGAGAGACCTAACCAACCAATGTACCACTATAATGGTAGCCTAAACTTTTCGTACTTTTAGCAAAGAAGTGGGGGAAACTACATGCAAACTGCCCCTTCTGAAGATCTCAAATATCATCGTAGAGTGCAGTGCAATATAGCTTTGGAGCGTCTAAGGTGGCCTAAAACTTTCGTACTTTTAGCATGGAAGTTGGGGAAATTACATGCAAGCTGACCCTCCTGAAGATCTCAAATATCATCATAGAGTGCAGCTATGGAGTGTCTAAGGTGGCCTAAACCTTTCGTACTTTTAGCATGGAAGTGGGGGAAACATGCAAACTAATCCTCCTGAAGATCTCAAATATCATCGTAGAGTGCAGTGCAATATAGCCTTGGAGTGTCTAAGGTGGCCTAAAACTTTCGTACTTTTAATACGCTAGTGAGGGGAAGGATGTGCCAACCTACAATCCTGAATATCTTAACAAAAGCTGGAGAATGCAGTGGAAGTATAATCCTACGTACGACCGTTACCCTGCGCATGCTTACAACGGGTTAACTACTAGAACATCAACCGTTCAGCCGATCAAAGAGAGGCGAGGGGCTAATATGTACATGTCCATGTACCTGGTGTGGGTGATGAGGTCAAAGAAATGAGAGAGTAGAGATCTCTGAATGTCTTCACTGGTCCCACTCCATACTGTCAGATCTGGAGGAAGCAGGACACATACATGCGCTCAATAGCACCTGAAATAACACATCTTGTACATTGTACCTTTTAAAACAGTATAGCAACGTGTATTATAGAGGAGGCAGGGAGGTGGGGGGAAATCTGTTTACACGACAAAAAGAAGTTCAGAGGAAAAGTTGACAAGAAAGGCCATTATAGTGTAGTAGGTTGTCAAACTACATACTACGTATATGTACATTATGTGCATTGGGTCTCGTCATTTTCACATACACACTTATTGAGAGCTCTCAGGTTCAATCTACAGTAGTACACTAGCTTTCATGCACAGTACCGGCTATATAGTAGGTCTCCATAGTAGTATAGTACTATTGCTTTCTCACACACACTATAGGTTGCAGTACCCACCGGCTAGTAGGTCTCTGAAGGCGATGGGGTTGGGGATGCAGGAATTCTCGTGTTCGGAGTCGACGGTGCCCACGAGGGTGAAGGTGAGATGGAGGATGTTTCCGTTGATGAGGTGACTCTTACCCCGGAGTAACATACCCAGCACCTGGGGGACGCGAGTAAAGTATGCATTCAAGAATGAAAACCACGGCGCCGTTTCCCGGTGCAAGTCGCACACGCATGCATGCGCGTCAGGCAATTGCAATGTGTACTAAAAATGGAAGTTTGTCATCTCGTCGGTTGAAATCTAAGTGTGCTAGAAGCCCTCATGCCATATATGTAGTACACATCATTAGTAACTCGCATCGAGTTTACTAAGTGCCCGTGGAGCCGTTTATCCCGCACAAACGTAAAAACAAGTGTGCTTCAATTGGAGTACGTACTAAATAAGTTAGGCATCTCAATCTACACTCGTTAGACGCCTTCATGTTGTTTATGTAGTGTGCTCGGAACGCCACAACACAAGGGCCCTCGGGCTTCTAACACATGTAGATTTCACACACTCACTGTCTAATTTACCATGAATCTATTTATCCGTGTATGGATAAATGTTTAAAATTTCCAAACATGTAGGTAGGCTTGCTCCACTCGCCAAATGTTACCTGGAAGCCACCGGTCCTCTCCATCTCCTTGAGGGCCGTCTGGTTGTTCCCGACGATGCACACCAACGCCTTCATGCTGGCGTAGAGGGCGTCGACAGAGGTTGCCATGGCTACCAGGCCCAGCATGACGGAGGTCCCGCCCACTGACGAGAGAAGGTTTCGCAACGGCTGCACAGCAAATGAAACATCCAGTGAATGCAATTCAAATTATTGACACAAACTCTTAACCATACAATCTAGTCAGTACTACAGTGAATGGTGCTAATACTACAATGTACAATCTACTAGAATAATACGAATGGTGCTAAAAGCATCATAATAGTGTACATGTAAAAAGCAAGCACGAAGGCATCACGTGTGTGCTACATTAAGTGTGTACCTGTGGTTGGAAGGATCTGAGACCTGAGTAGCCGCACATGACAGCTCCGAGGCTGCGGGCCGGACCAAACAGGTGGAAACTGGTGTTGTGGAGTAGCTGGACCGGTGTGGCGTCGTCATTCTCTGCCAGGAGGAGCTGCAGAGGTACAGTGGGAATAGGGGATCCTTTATACTGTAGCTAGTCCTACTATAGATTAGAGACTTGACAAAAAGGTGCTGTAAAAGGCTATCATAGTCTCGTGGGCCAGCCAATATCCTTTTAGTTTTAAGTCTTAAAATCGGCCTGCCAGCAACTGTATATAAGCTCAACACTCTATAAATGTTAGCTGTATATACAAATAAGGGTGATTACTGTGCAATACTTTATTAACACAACCGTTCTAATACACATGGAACACTATGGTCAAGTGACTCTGTTTGAGCATAATATATATATAGTTTAACTCACTCGCACTCACAATTGTACTCAATTAATGTGGTTCCATGTTACCTCTCTAGCGATGGTGGCAGTGTCGATGGTAGAGTAGGTCTTGCTGAGTTCAGCCACGGTCTTGGTGGTAGGAGTAGAGGCTGACACTCCAAACACGACTCTGTCTTCAGGTATCAGTGGAGGCAGAGGATCACCAACTGCCCCGGGAGACAGCAGAGAGGAGAGCTGAAGAGAACATCATTATAAAGAGATGTTCTCGATCAGTTTATTATTTTTCCCGGTTCAAATCAACGAGTGAATGTGCGCACATCCGCGGGCTTTTGCGTGCTCGAACTGGTAGTCATGTCATAACGCGTGGATTTATACCCTTCCACGTGTTTTGGCGTGACTACCCGCTCCAGCACGCAAAAGCGCGATTTTCGCGGCCGCCGGTGGATGTGTGATTATTTTACACGGGAATTCAAAGTATGGGATTGAACTCACAGAGGTGTCTCCCAGGACGGGGGCCTGGAAGGAGCCAAAGTAGGAGGGGCCAAGCTTGTGGATGGCACCGGCTGTCTGCGGTCCCACCGGCTCGTCAAACAAGTATATCGGGCCAAGTCTAGAGGTCAGAGGTCACAGGATACTAGCACCCTCTCATACACCACCAATGAGCTGAATGTTACTAGCATGACTATAGACTTAACCTACATAAACCACAGTAAATCTCTGCATGAACGCGCCTTTATCTCACCAGATACCAACAATTAAAACCTTTCCCAGTTTTCTCGAATTTTTATGAAATTGTATAAATTGTAAACGTCAATACTTTGGTTCTAGCGCATTACGCATGCCGAAGAACCAAGTTCATGAAATTTTTGCTCACTTTCACACAAAATCCTCAAGTATATTACACCTGATGAGTAGGTCTGAGACGTGTCTCTGAGTGACGTGAGTCCCGATGTGGGCTGACACGAGGTAGGGCGTCGTCTCACTGGGGAACGGGAGGAATCCAGTCTCCGGGGGAAACGCCGGCCTCAGGTACACCATCTGCAAGGACCACGAAAAATGCATTTTAAAAAAACTGAGCAAGTACGTACGTACATGCATATGCGTAGAGCGTTAACAATGAGTCGAGTTTGTCAAAGGTTCTGGTGTTCATACATGTACATTATGTAAATCTGAATTACACCTGGAAAGAAAATGTTTACCGATAATTATCACAGATTATCAACACATAATACGAACAGGAGTTGAATGGTGTATATGTCACCTTTTTGCATCCCACCAGCTGGCTATCAACATAGATGCTGACTTGACACCACTGAGACTAACAACACAACACAACACGTAAACAAACAACACAACATGTAAACAAACAACACAACAACAAACAAAAACACACCACAGCACAACACTAAAATGCTCTTTTACAAAACCCTCTGTTGTAGATGCACCTTTTGCACACCAAGCGGGACGCCATCCATAAAGAGAGAGACTTTCGATTTCTGTCGAAGCGTCTTTGCCATGGAAACCACGACGTGATGCCAGACCTGAAGATGGCCAAGCTGAGGACAATTGAATGAGACGGTCTCAATTTTGTCGGTCTTCATGTCGTCTGTTATGAAGTCCCTCATCTGTTCTTTGTTGGACTGTTGGAGAGTGACTGTCAGGGACTTTATATAAGAGAGAGGGAGGGAGTGGGAAGGGGAAGAGAGAGGGAGAGAGTGGGGAGGGGAAGAGAGAGGGAGGGAGTGGGGAGGGGAAGAGGATAAAAAGAGGGGAAGGAGGAAGCAAGGGGGAAATGAATTTCATAATCACGAGTGCCCACACAAACTGTATATATACACACCTCAGTGGTAAAGTTGGCGAGAATCCTAAAGCAGGGGATGCTGATGGTCTTGTTGTCCAGGCCCAGAAAGTTTTGGGAGAGAGAGAGGAAAGTAAATGGCGTCTCGTCGTTTGCTGACACACTAGAGGAGAGGGGCAAGTTAGTAAAGTAACTACCTTAATTCCTCCCTTCCCCACCCCGACTCCCCAATTAAGGTTTTTGTTGCATTTTTTGCAGGACCGTAAGTAAAAGAAATGGCAAACAAACCACTTTGCCTAATGTTTCTATTGGTGGAGTGCGGAATACGATATCCCGCTCTTCCCCTTGTCTCAATTAGCTTACAAAATTTTGAGGTTCATAAAAGCATGGGAGCAGCACTGGTGTAGGCAGGCAAAGTGAGCCTATATATTCGTCTCAATGCGGAACAATGTTCTACGTGATTCTTACGTGTGAAACGCATGCAAAAAAAATCGGAAGTGCTCGCTTCGCTTGCCAAAAATGATTTACATTCGTTCTAGTTAGGTACATATAATATACCTGGATACATAGAACCAGCAGGAGAAGGTGAGGCCGTTGTTGGGAGGAAACAGTCTCTCAGAGCCATAGCCAACTCCCGAGGTACTGACACTCAGAGAACTGGGGGACTGGACCACTCCTATATGGGAGAGGAACCGGGAGAGAAAGAGAGAAAGAGAGAGAGGGGAAAGAGGGGAGAGAGAAAGGAAGAGCAATGTGTGCCAGACTTTGCCATGAATACGTACGCATCCCCAGGCCTTTTTTACGAGATGGGGTGAGATTTGATAGAGGGGAGCGACCTCTCTAACTAAAAAATGAACAGGGCCCACTCGGCAAGACATTTTGTGGTAATTAATGGGTAATTCCGGTTAAAACGGAAGTAGGCGGGCCAGCACTCACATACAAAACAGACGCACCGTGCAACAGCGCTCACACTATCGCGTACCGCAGTGTTTGCAGCGTGTTCTGCCCGCCATTTGTTACCTTGGATCTGTTGAGACTGGCTGATCTGCTGCGGAAAGACACTGGGCAGAAAGAGGCAGCCAAACCCATCAATGGAATGGTCAATCTCTATAAACATTGGACTTCCCAACACACTAGATATGTTACTGGCCCGTGGCGTCGTCATGGACACCAGGCTCTGGATACGAGCCAACGAGAGGGAGCCCCCGTATTTCCTCTTATGATTGCCGCCGGCGTCTGTGGTTTTAACCCTTTCTTCACTGTCTTTTGCTATTTTATCACTTGTTCCACTTGAGAGAATAGTATCGTCTGACTTGTTTTCAAAACTGGTTTTCGAAACCTCGGAACTGGTATTGGGTTCCTGATCGACTTGATGCGTCTCCGGATTGGCCGGCCCGTTTGATAATGGGTCGGCCTGATTACAGATCAGGCCTATCTGGGTTGCCTCTTGTTCCAGCTGTTGTAATGATATGTTATTGATGGTACAAGAGAGAGGGTCTCCAAGACGAAGAAAACTCCTGTAATTAAGTGAAAAGCACTAAAGTGAAAACCTCGGCACAAGGAACGTACATGCTTGTGTTGTTAAGGTACACATGCTCCATGCTTGCGCAAAAATAGATTTTAATCTCTGCTATATTTGTATAGAAGAAAGTACAAGTGAGATATTATTTTTAAACTCAGGATCCGCTATGTAAGGGAGGTTTGGTACACAAAAGTACCCTAAGTAAGAGGACGCTAGGCTTGCTGTATTTTGCTGTCCAGCAGAAGTCAGAGGCAGAATGCTAGCTGAAACACACCTGAAGTTGGAGGGAGTGAGGGACTGGTAGGAGAGTCTTTCGAAAGTTCTCTCGAGAGCTTGATGGAGAGGGTGTGCCTCGTTAGCCAGGACCGAGCCACATCGCTGGAGGATACGCTGGGGTAGGTTCACCTGCCATTGGAGGAGAGGAGGGGGAGGGAGCAGCAAGATAAAAAGAGAAGAAAAGGAAAAGTTAGAGGAAAAAGGCACGGGGTAAGTTTGACAGAGAATCACGTGAACTACTAGTGACTAGCAACTACTCTCACGATATGCGTACGTACATACGTACGTGTCGGTCACGCTTAAGAATGTCAATTAGTCACGCTTAGGAATGTCAACATCCGTCATTCGTAGGAAGTCTAGCTTCCGCCGTGCGCACAGATTCGTAGGAAGTCTGGCTTCGCACGCAGTCAGTAGAGCGCGCGCACGAGCGGCCTCAGTCGGACTGTTTACGCATTGGCTGGCAGGCGCGAGGCAAAATATGCGCGTGCGCATTCCTAGTATAGGTATTGTGTGTGTACCTGGCAGAGAGCCTGCTGGTTTCTCTCGGTCATGGCCATGGAGAAGATCTCAGTCACCACTCGCTCTTGGAGAAACACACACCACTGCATGTGACAACACACACACACAACCACTGAAACAATCAATGAACAAAATGTCAAATGCAACACGTTTTGGTGAACAGGTTCGCACAAATTGCAACCTTCGAAACTCTATACATTTTTCATGTTTCGGCATTGGATATACCATTGGGCGATTACAAAGTAGACTTACTTCACTCGCCAGTAATAAAGAACAAAAAGCTTGAAATATGCTCTGAGTACCATAATTTGCCGTTCCAATGAATGTATAATGGCTATATACAGCTGTAGTGACCTTCCTGGCCTCGCAGGGAGGCATTTTGCAGTAGTTTCTCTCCAGTATCTTCCTCTGAGACACACCCATTGATTCTCTCAACTCCTCCTCATCCGTCTCACTCTCCTCCCTACATCAACATACACACAGTACATTGTCACGGTGGGAAAACAAAAACAGCCAAAAGAAAAAAGAATAAAGAAAATTGTACGTGTATCAACATGGATGGACACGTAATTGCTATCCTGTTAGAGCAGACAAAAGGAAGGAGAAGTTAGACTTAACCCTCGGCACGCATGCACTAGAGGGTTATGGCCTATCTTTGTGCAAATCAACCCCCCAATCCCTAATAGGGGTGTCCACGATTTTGCACTTTTTGTAGGAACAAGAGTGCAAGAAGACACATGCCAACAGTCTGTAATTTTTTTTACTGTCGTTGGAGGATGGAATAGTAATGCAATGCACTCTTTCTTCCAGAACCTTTTTCTATCTAGATTCACCAATCCTCATATTGCTATCCTTTTGCCAATCCACCCCACATTTTCTAATAGGGGTGTCAAATATTTTGCATTTTTTTTATAGGAACAACAGTGCAAGAAGACACTGGCCAACAATCTGTATTTACTATCGTTGGAGGATGGAATAGTAATGCACTCTTTCTTTCAGAACCTTTTTCTATCTAGTTTCACCGACCCTTCTTTCACCTCTGTTTCGTGAATGGCATGCCAACATTACTGACCCATAACTGCCAAGTGACGATGTTTCACACATTTCCACATCTGACCCCTTCCCCCTGTGGTTCTGATGGTTCGGTATGGTCTCCTGGTGGTCCACAGTGGTCCCTCCATTGACGACCACGGTACAGTTACAGTTCGGTACAACTTGTGGTCCTCCTTCATGGCAGCTGGAGAACTGAACACAAAACGTAACATTTTCCTCAAAAGAGAAACCTATACTCGAACTCTCTGAGATATTCAATATGGGCATAGAGCAATCTAAAAAACGGGCATGATTTTTGGGGCTTGGTTCAGACGGCAGCACTATTTTGAAGGCGTTACATACATTAATTCAAAAAACCTACTCCTGTGAAATTTTACACTTCGTCTTCATCAAATGCACAGTACACATTATGGATTTTACACCATACTTTAAAGTTAGTCTGCGTAAATTGGTGTGACTTCCCACTTGAGTGCGTAAAAGCGCGATATTTCGCAACCATCGCTGTCTGTGCGCGCTTTTACACAGATTATTTTACACGGGATAGTTTAAAGTTTATACATACCTCTCCTTCTTCTTCTCCATCTTCTTCTTCTTCCTCTTCCTCCTCCTCCTCCTCCTCGTCAGCCATGGTCTGTGTTTTCATGTGCACACTGGGGAGAAGGTCCACCATGCAGAGGACAGCTCCGGGGTGCACCAGGTGGCCAGTCACGCGAGACGGCACCGTCATAAACGCACTCTTCTGAGACCCCACCTGTCCAGTGAGGGACACACACATTTAGTACGCACTCACGCATGAAAATGTGTTTGCTAAATCTTGTACATCGAGTTTACACAACACCATACTAATCAGGCGATCGTCAAGGCCTGCTAATATAAAAAATGGTGAAAATCTCAACACCATGCCAAAGAGCATGTGTGTATGTAAGTCGCATACAATGTTGAAAATGTAGCAAATAATGTCGTGTTACGACTCCAGCAACATGTACAGTATTGTGAACCAGGTTTTAGAGACACTCGAAAAAGATTCAGAGCCAGCAGACCGTTAGTACAGACAGACCTGGAGTAGAGACGTAGACTGAGTCATGGGGATATCCAGAGCCATGTCGCGCAGGAACCGAAACACCTCGGCCGCCGAGAAGACAAACGAGTTTTCGTCCAGTTTCTCTCCCGGCTGTTGCCAGGTCTTGAACTCTGCCTCAAAGGATTGGAACCCGGGGCTGGAGGATATGTCGCCGTCCTCCTCGCTCAGCGAGGGAGGGAAGAGGGTTATGTGGCGAGAGAAACAGCCCAGTAGCAGGAGAGGTGCCGTGAAACTCTGGAACCGAATCTGGACACAGGCATCCACATACATGTACATACACATGTACACATGCATACACACATGAATCATACATGGGGCAAGGGAAGTGTAACAGTGCCGGGCCAGCATAAAGAGCTGCTGTAGGATTGAACCCATGACACTTTGATCTCTAGGCAGACGAGTGCGCTTACCACTGAGCTACCAGGGAAGCTGTGGGCGCAAAGCTAAACTTTAAGTACGTATTATGTGACAGCAAGTGCACAAGTCAAGTATAATTATACCTTACGTTGTGATTATGCAAGTGATGTGTTAAGTCTTAGAAAGCGGGAGAAAGGAGATGAAGAGGAGAAAGGAGAGAGAATGCGACATTTGTCTCAAAGAACATCTTGTTTGGCTGGGTCGTCTTGCATGGCAGACATCAGGACCACAAACACAAGTTGAACCAGTTTCAACACCTCGCTGCGGAGAACTGGGGAGAAAGTACAGTATTGGGACCTACGGACACTTGTGTAGCCAATATTACTGCTAGTATATAAAATCTGTATATATACACATGTCTACCATCCATGTCCCACTTTCTACCCCCCCTCCCTCCTTTTTCCTTCCTTTTTACTCGTTTACAGGCACATATGTAGTGTTTGTCATATTGTTTTATATTAAACAGTGGAAAATAG